ATTGATCGTGTATGCAAATTACAAGTGATATATCAGAAAAAACACTCCCTTCTTCATTTACATGTCACGCCTCTCAGCCCAGCCCACCGATACGCCCCTCAGTGGGCACCTGGGGGCCAAAACATCTCTCGGTACAAACAATGGATACCTTGTTAATTCAATGGGTAGATTTCGCATGAATTGAGACACTGTAACAAACTCAAGGACATCTTATCGTGCTGCCTACCCGAATTTGAACCTTCCTGTCTGTACTATCAGTTCACAAGGCCTCAGCTCCATTCAGCACAAGCGTACAACAAAATGAAACTTTAAACATGATAACTTTGAGTTTGTCTATACTCGATCAAAGGGAAATGCTAATTCAACTTCTTTATTTAAATAAAGGTTAAAAAAAGACAAAAAAAAAAGACAGACTGTACTGACGCAATGCCCACCTCTAGATATTGGGATGTGCGGCCCAGTATCAAATGCCCCGCGTCCCGGTGGTTGGGGACCGCCGCTTTTGGGATATGTAGATCATTACTGCAATGTGAATAGGGGAATTTAGAGGTGTTCACTATAATTTGCGAAGGGTACATCATCCTCAGTCAGGAAAGGTGAAGAGTTGACAATAAGACTCTTACCTCATGATCCATCTCTCATTCCCTAAAAGCCAATTTGTGAATAATCAGCTAACAGGGGATTGGGGCCACAGGGCTGCGACCACCTTGCTGTCAGTCAACCATTAGGCCTTTAACTTTCCCCATGCTGGGAATGCAAGAGGCTTGATGCATGGAGAGAGCCGACTCAATGCGCAAGATAACTTGACACTGGGTTTAGGGCCCCGCAATTACTACCAACAAGACATTTACTTCATTGTACTTTTACTTTACCCATAGAAGTGTGAACCAGCTCTGTACGTAGAAAATACATAGAAAGCTTGTGTTTTTCTCCCACCAGGAACGCTGTAGCTGCAGCATCCCGAAAGCACACCTCAGCAAACCCTGTCTTTCTTGGGGGGCGACAATGGGTAGGATGGGGAGGGGTTGACAGCCTGAGGTGGTAAGTAGCTCATTAAGGAGAACACAATTCATTTAATTCTCCCGCAGAACTGCAAAACATGTTTTACGGCCTGCCTTTTCAATCTTTACGCTCCCATTAGATTCCATTGCAACCTGGCTTTTGTTGTTTTCAAGCAGCCCCGAGCAAGCAAGCACATTTGGGGAATTGCGCTTCCTGCAGGACTTAAAATTGGATACATTCTATCAAACAGCAGCACAGTGAATGACAGTTGCTAAATGTCAGCTCTTTTGAAACGGAAAACACACGGTTCAATTGCCCCACTCTGTACTTAAGTAATACAGATTTAAAAAAAAAAACAGCTTTTGTACTTAAGATAATAAAAAAGTACAGCCTGAAATATGCTATCAGTTATGTGAAACAAAGGTTTAGACCAGGGGTGGGCAATCCCAGTCCTGGAGGGCCGCTATCCTGCATGTTTTCCATCTGTCCCTGTTGCAACACACCTGATTCAATTGTTCAGGCCTCGACAGAGCTTGCTGATGATCTGATCATTTGAATCAGGTGTGTTGGAGAAGGGACAGATGGAAAACATGCAGGATAGCGGCCGTCCAGGACTGGGATTGCCCACCCCTGGTTTAGACAAAACTTTAATGGTAGATATCTTTACATTTACGGCACTCAAAAACCTAGTTAAACACATACATACGTATACTGAGAAAGCGCAACAGCAATGGATAACACAAAAATATTGTACACGGTACCGATCCCGTTTTTTTTTCCAAACAAACAAATTTATAATTTCACAATTTGCAGTACAACTATCATGCCCAAAGATGTACACTATAAAACATTGTGTAGGCGTAAAAAGCAGGATCACAGCAGATGACACTCACTCAACAAAAACTCACCTGTGCTGAAATACTTCCTGTTTTTGTTCTTTTAAATTTACACAGGACCAGACTAAGGTGCCACCACTAAGGGGTCAACAGTTGATTTTGCGCCCAATTAGCATGAGAGTCTGACTAAAATAGTTATTAACTGCTCTGATGCACTAAGGATTAATCATCATTTATTAATTTCAGAAGCAAAGCATTTAGAAAAGACCTATAGTTGATTATGATGACATTCTTGGCCCGGGCCAAAATTGACCTAGAACATACGTGTATGGAAAAGGAACAGTATTAAAGCGTAAGGTACAGTGATAAAGTATTTTTACTTAATTTCTTCCCAATCTTGATGTCCACACTGGTCAGCACCAAAGCTGGCAGGCAAAATGTCTGAAATGCAACAGTGCACCTGTGTCTGATTTGCTTCACTCCCAATCATGTCGAGATTGTCACGAAAAAAATATAAGCCCGCTTTTTTTTTTCCCCCCTCTCTCTTTTTCTCACCGTTTTCATTTTGTGTTCCTGCCCTTGAGAGGCTCGGACTATTTTCCATCCGGATGTGGCGAGTTTGTCGACCTCGTTGCGAACTGATACAGCTCTTCGGTACGGGC